AGGAAAAAAGGAAGGGGAAAAATGTAAATATATATATATATATATATACATATATATGTGTATATGTATATATATAGGCTGGCTGAGATGATTGTACTCATAATTTCCATCAGTTTTTTTTTTTTAATTTTATTTATTTGTTTGTGGGGGGGGCAGCTCAGCCCACCTGGGGCGGGGCTGGCTGGCATGTGGCGCTGGGGGACTGAACCGCGGTCCCTGTGCTTTGCCAAGCTTGTTCCAAGTAGGTGCTTTAGACCACTGAGCCATCCCACCTGTCCCCAGTTTTTTTTAAATAGCAGTTAATGTTTAGAATTTTGCTTGACTAACTCTGTATGTTAATATCTGTGATCTGAGCAACTACATTGAGGACAGCAATGTGTAATACAAAACTCATGATTGAATGCCTCTTATTTTGGTCTTCTGTGTACCATTTCTAATGTCTTATCAATTATTGTACTCTTTAAAATAAAACAAAAAAGACAAAAAACAAGATTTCTTGAGAGCAAGCATCAATATTCAGTTATTTCCCCAGTCCTGCATAACTATATCTGTTAATCTGAGCAATAGATTTGATAATAAAAATAGATAACGATTGTTAATTAGCTATTCCTGTTTTGAAAATCTGTAACATATGTATTGTTGTATGTTACCATTTCTTTTTTTCTATTTGTTTTTGCTTGTTTTTATCTTCAAAATAAAATAAAGAACAAAAAAAATCTAAAATTCTTTTTCAGTCTTGTGAAATTGTATAGTTAAATGTCTGAGCAATTCTCTTGAATTCAATCTGTAAAGTCTCTGTTTGGAAGATCTTTTTTCCTGAAAGCCTCTTTGCCTTTCATTATAAAAGAGCCTGGTACCGCTTTCTGTTTTAAAAATCCAGCTGGAAAATTACAGCGTACAAACATTTCCCCAGCAGTTCTTCATTTGAAAAGAACAGAAATGTCTTCAAAGTGTAGGCTGACATTTAAATATTTATTCCTGTTAGTGCAAGTTGTACATTTGTATTCTTTACTTCTTATTTCTGTGAGTACATATGGATAGTTATGGCTTTTGTATAAAACACTGTCTTTATTTTATGTGGCTCTATGGTTGTCCTGAAAATCCTCTAATAACCTGATTTTTTCTAAGCTGCTTTAAAAAACATTAAACTGTTCTTAGCTGTTATGTCTTCATTTTGGTTCTATTAAGTTCAAGTGCAATATATTTTGTTCTTAGTATATAATGCTAAGTATTGGTCCAAAATGTGCTGAAATGTATATATTCTTTTAAAATAATTTTGTCATTTAAAAAATAGACAATTTCCAGTGTACTTTTAAATTTATAAAATGAATGAACTGATTGTACATAGATTTTTACTTACCCAGCTTCCAAACTATGCAGTTTCCCTTCATTAGTGTGACCCATCTGTTACAGTTAATGAGATAGTATTGATCTGAACTGTGTAGGGTTTGTAGTTAACACTGAACTTTTCTCTTTGTGTTTTACATTCTGTGGGTTTTGAGAAATATGTAATTATATGTATCCACCATCACAGTTTTATGTAGGTTATTTACTGCCTGAACGTTCTTTATGAACATGAAATACTCTATTCTTAAACTCCCTGGCAGCCATTTTTTTTTTTTTTTAAGCTGACTATAGTTTCACCTTTTCCATGCTGTCATAGAGGTGGAGTATGTGGCCTTTTGGACTGACTTCTTCCCTTTTTTATTTTTTTTTTTTTATTTTTAAGTAAAGGAACTGTATTTTATTTATTTTTTTGTGGCCAGCTCAGCCCACCCTGGGGGCAAGGCTGGCACAGCATGCCATACCGGGGATTGAACACAAGTCCCCTCACTTTCCTAAGCAGGCGCTTAGTCCACTGAGCTATCTCACTGGTCCTGCTCATTTCTTTTTATTCCGAGATAATATTCCATCCTACTAATGTGCTATAGTTTATCCATTTACCTGGGAAAGGATATTAGGATTACTTTCATTTTGGGGCAGTTATAAAGAGTAACTATAAGCATTGTGTGTAGGTTGTTGTATAGACATAAGTTTTGAAGTTAATGGGGTACATGATTCAAATGGAGATTGCTGGACCATATTTTTTAACCCTTGTTAGAAACTGACATGCTGTCAGTAATATCTATATAAGAGTCAGCCTAAAGGAAAGAAGGAAATAATGTAAGTACTTCCTGAGGTAGTTAACTCAGGAAGATGAGATTAGAAGAGAGGGAGACTGTCATACTATTGATTTAATTTTAATTTAATTACTACAAAGTCTTGTGGTAATTTTTTATAATTGTCTTTCTCTAAAATGCTTTAACTATTAATACCAAGAGTATATAAGTGACAAGAAGTAAGATCATTTATAGTAGTGTACTGTCAGTTTTATAGCATTTCCTGGTTGCAGAGGATTTAAATATTTTATTATTGAAGTAAAGAGAAAAATAACTTTCCTTCAGTCATCGTCTGTTCAACAAACATGTGGCACATCTGCCAAGCAGCACAGAATTTATCACAGGATCATGCTTTCAGCAAAGAAGATAGTAACCTTAATTCAGCCTAGAGATATCAGACAAGACTTCTTGAAGGAGGGAAAGTTAAAAGGCCATGTAGGCTAAAGCGCAAAGGGATGGAGACGGAGAATGTTCTGGAGTAAGGCCTGTTTGCAAGCTGTTGACCCAATCTGTGATTCTGATTAATGTGACTAAATCCAGAATTATTTTTTCCACCATCTCAGAGAAGCATATTAGATCTTCTCATGTTAGAACTTGTTAATACTCTGTAATTGGGAAGTATGTACCATTTTCCTTTGGTTTCCTGTGAATGGCAGGTTACATTTCCTTGCTGCTGGTTTTGCTTTTGCAATTGTGAACAGGCTGAAGATACTCCGTTGTTGAAAATGTGTTAGCATTATCACTTTGTTAGAGTTGAACATTGTATTCCTAACCTTGAATGGTTTAACTGTCACTTTGTGTGAGTCTGCATGAGACCAGGAGGGAGGGGCGGAAGGGAAGGAATTAATACCAGTATGCCAGTGGTGGGAACCTCCACTGTGGTGCCACAGTGCACCGTTGGTAGCATTGAAAGCTCTAAAAGAGTCCCCATCACTGCCTTACTCTGTCCAAGGCCCTTACACTTAAATCTTTCTTCATTGTATATAAACTTCTCTATGTCCATATCTATAGATGGTTTTATTTTGAAGGATTTCAGCGAAAATGGAAAGCTAGAAAATACCCTGACATTTAGGTATAGAAGTAGGTAGGTTTAATGGATTCAGATGTAAGATTGTTGCAAGAATTTAATTAGTGTTGTCATTTGGTAATATCGTATCATACCAGAAAGTTGCTGGCTTTTTAAAATATTACAATATTGTTAATATTTAAAATAATATTATTTTTCCTTGAGCTGAATTCAGCTCTCATAATTTTTTTTTAAGATTTTACATGTATAATAGTTCATATTCTGATACATCGAAAAGCATCATAGTAACCAGTAGGAAATGACTCTCAAATTATAAAAAATGAACAATGAAATCTTGTCCTCATAATACAGTTTTTGAGTTTTAAATCTTCTGACTCTTGCCCCTGCCAGCTGGATGACCTTGGGCAAATCCTTTAATTTTACTGAGATGAATATCTTTATGTTTAAATAAACTGGACTAAAGTACATGAAGTATTCTACAAAACATAATAAATTACAGACATAAGTGCTGTCATTATGATGGAATTTGTCTTCCACTAGATTTTATAATCCACTGAATGAAATTCCTAAAGTAAGCAAAAGGATTGCCTTGAGTTCAGGGCCAGCCCAAACTAAATACCAAGACTGTCCCAAAAACAAAAAAAGTTACCTTTCTTTCTTTCTTTCTTTCTTTTTTGAAGTTATCTTTCTTTTCTGGTAGCTAAATACAGATGATTTGGTTTTTATTTTGCTGAATAATTATGTTCTTAGTATAAATGAAAACCATGATGTTTTTGTTTGGGGAGCTATATGGAACATCATTTTTTACTGAAAAATAGAAATTGTACATATTGTTGAGGTCCATATGTTTTGATAAGTATGTGTTGTATAATGTTCAAATGACGGTAAGTATGTGTATCTCTTCAGACTATTTCTTGGTGATGATAACATTTCAAAATCTTAAGGACTGGGGAGATAGCTCAGTAGAATAAGTGCTTGCCTGGCAAGCACAAGGGCCTGCGTTCAATCCCCGATTCCACCAAAAAAAAAGCATGCTCAAAATCTTTCTGGCTTCTTTGAAATACACAATTATCTATGATCATTCTACTGTAGAATATAACAGCAGAACTTATTTCTTCTAGCAGTAGCTTTTTGGGGGGAGGGGGGATGCTGGCTAGGCCAGACTAAAGGGCGGGTCTGGTATGGCATGTGATGCTGAGGATCGAACCGCAGTCCCCTGCACCTGACTGAGGTTGCTCAAGCAGGCGCTTTAGACAAGTGAGCTATCCTGCCAGCTGTTGCAGATGTTTATTTGTTTATTTTGTTTTGTTTTGTTTTGTTTTGTTTTGTTTTGTTTTGTTTGCGGTACCAGGGATTGAACTCAGGACCTTGCACTTGGCAGACAGGCACTTATTCTACTGAGCTATCTCCCTGGCCCCTAACTGTAGCTTTTTTTTTTTTTTTTTTTGTGGAACCAGGGATTGAACTCAGGTCCTTGCGCTTGCCAGGGAAGCGCTTATTCCACTGAGCCATCTCCCTGGCCCTAACTGTAGCTTTTTAACTGCTGAAAAAATTTTTTAATCCAAATGTGGAAACTTGTAGGCAGTATACCAAAGTTTTTAGCAGTAGCTATTTTTGACTGGTAGGACAAAGATAATTTTTAAAAATATTTTATGTCTTGTATTTTTCTTCATTGAAAATGAAGGTACTAATTTTATGGAAAGAAGGGTTTTGGTTTTGTTTTGTTAGAAGCATGGCTGATAAGTAAAGTGACAAGTAATATTTGTGTAGCTAACAAACTATTTAAAAATTTTTGTTTTCATTTTTACTTGTAGGCCAGAAATGTACACACAGGAGAATTAGCTGCAGTAAAAATTATCAAGTTGGAGCCTGGTATGTATGAAAATCCTTAAGATAATTATGGAACAATTTTCTTGTCCAGTTCATAAATACACGATTTAAAACATACACCATATTACCTTCTTTGTTTTCCTCCTTCCTGTAGTCTTTATTTGTTCTATAAAGTTGGTAGAATATGTACACTACAGTATACCAAAATCATTGAAGGTAATTAAAAGCAAGTTTGATGGGACAGTTTTGCTAAATAAAATTTGAAATGTGCATATGAAAAATTAGGTGCACTTGCTGACTTTAAAGTAATTTATAATTATTCTAATTTTAGTTTTAACTATTATGAAAAGTTGGCTAGGAAAGTATTCAGTGCTTTTTGGGGAGCATAGTCACATAATAGTCAGCATAATGATATTTTGTCATCTGTTGCCTGACTAGTTGATTTAGTTTTGGTGATTCTGATCTTAGTTTCATGCTCATATTATTAACACTTATGTGATCAGGAGACTATTTTAAAACATACTAATTCATTTTTGAAACAAAACTTTATAAAACTTAATCAATGTTCTGATTTTGGTATCCTAAAAGGTTCTAATAAAATCAGTAGTAATTTTTGGCCAAAATCTGTTTGTTTGCAGGTTTATAAACTGATGCATGTAATGTGTGACCATAATTATGCCAGATTCTTAATTTGAGCAGTTAAATTTTTTATTTCAAATATAATCTTTGTATCAATTTTGTATAACTTATTAAAGAGGTGATATTACTGAAATAGCATATGCTGAAATACTTTAGACTTTGAAATACAACATAGTATTTGAAATTACTGTAATACTATTTTGGAGTCCTCATGTTAGGTATACTTGATAAGTGTAGAATGAATTTCAGAATGTCACTGACATAAAAGGAGGGAATATAAAAGAACTGTACAAACATTTGCCTCTTCTAGAGGAGTTACTTAAGCAAATATTCAAGTTCTGTTGAGGGAATGGGTATAATCCACAGGAAACAAAGATATGCATCCCTTTTCTGTCTGCATTGAGTACACTGGGCTTATTATACGGCTTTTTTATGTCTTTGACTTGAGCATATAGATAATTATATTTAATATAAATTGACTATATTTTTTAAATCTTGTGTGATTTCTTAAGCCATATATTAGATTTAACAGAGAAAGACAGTGCAATGAAAAGAGAAAAGTAGGCTAGGCGTGGAGGCATACGTCTGTAATCCCAGCACTTGGGAGGCTGAAGCAGAATTGTTACAGGTTTGAGACCAGCCTGGGCTACAAAACGAGCTCAAGGCCCACCTGAACTTCATAGTGAGACCCTGTCTTAAAAAGGTGGACAGACAGACACATTGCTTTCTAAGGATTTCTCTCCTTAAATGCTTAGAAAGGAGAGAGAAAGAGAGAGGTAAAAACAATGTCATGCATATGATGTTATTAACATAAAAGAATTAAATGCTGCTGTCTTAAATTTAAGATCCTTTGAAAGGCTAGAACTTCTCACTTTTGAAACAAGAGTTGTGCTGTGTAGGCTAGGCTGGCTTTGAACTCACTCTTAGGAGAGTGACCCTGAACTTAGAGCAACCCTCCTGCCTCAGCCTCCAGAGTACTGGGATTATATGTATGTCACCATGCCAGCTTCACTGTTTTGTAAAAGCTTTTGACTTTATATTAGGGGCTGCTTAGATGTGAAGATGGGATGTAGTAATATAAAAAATCTTCCCTTCAAACAGAAAACGTAGATGTTCAGTAAATGCTAGTAACGTGATTGTAGTACTTCTACTTTCTGTGATTGCCTGTTTTATGCTTTGCTTCTTCTCTGTCAGGTTTTTTTGTTTGTTTGTTTGTTTTAATGTATTTGGTACAGGGTCTCACTATGCAGCCTGGACTTGTAGTGATCCTTCTGTTTTCAGCCTCCCCAGCAGTGGGATAACAGTCATGCTCCATCATGCCAGGTCTCCTATACCAGCTCAGCACATGTGGGGGCAGGGCTGGGCCAGCATGTGGTGTGGGGGATCGAACCCCAGTCCCTATGCTTGCCTAAGCAGGCACTTAGTCTGCTGAGCTATCTCGTGGGCTCTGTCGGGTAATCTTTTTTTATTGTTGTTGCTAGCACTTTGACACTAGCAACTCATAATGTTTAGTTTTTCCCTACTTTATTTCTATCTTCACACTATGGTTAGGATACTTTCTTGTACATATAGAAGTATTATTTTTCTCCTAAAGTTATCTTTTTTTCTTTTTGTCTTTCCCATACTTAGGCCTTTCTGTTAGATAGTTACAACAAAATTTAACTATAATTTCTCCCAGCTGTTTTCTTTCAAAGTTTAAATATTTGCTCCATCAGGAATAATTGTGGGGGCTGGAGAGATGGCTCAGTGGTCTAAAGCACCTACTTGGAACAAGCTTGGCAAAGCACAGGGACCGCGGTTCAGTCCCCCAGCACCACATGCCAGCCAGCCGCGCCCCCTGGTGGGCTGAGCTGGCCACACACACACACACACACACACACACACTAAATGTTAAAATA